TAGTAGAGGATCCCAAGCTGGATTTAGATTCAGACACACCTACCTGTATTGGAATCCTGGTTCTGCCACATGCTAGCTTTCTTCATTTAGCTCTTTGAGCCTCATTTCCTTGGAAATGAGATCAAAAATGCTCCCATGGCAGGATTGCTGTCAGAACTAATTAAGTGAAATTCATTTTATGTTGGCGTTGGGCACTTTGTGTTCCTCATCCCTTTTTGTAGGTCTATAACGATCTTTTGAGTTAATGTCATACTATCTGCATTTCATAGATGAGAGAATCGTTGTTTGTGGTTAAGAGGCCATTTGAGAAGTTAAGTAACATACCTCCTGAAATTCACAATTAGGAATAGCAGAGTTGGGACTTAAAATCAGGCATCTTCTCTCTCCAAAGCTTGACGTATGACCCATATCATGTCTTTCTACCCAGTAAGTTGAGTAAAGCAATGAATATGGAGTCTTTAGCATGTTGTGGGCACTTAATAAGCACAGTTTCAATCAGGTACCCAAGTATCTCATGGCCACATCTGCCAGCCCCAGGATGAGCAGCTTTGCTCTCCCCTTATTAGACGTCCCTGGTTGGCAAGGGGCCACCACCCAGTGAAAAGCAGGAGGGGCAGGAGGGATGTGAGAGCCATTGCATTATTCATGTCTAATTCTACTTGTCTAATGGACTTGTTAAAAGCACCCTGGGTGGGAAGTGTGAGTCTTAATGGCATTTTATCAAAGTTTCTCTGATGAATTAGCACATAAAGCAAATTAAAAACAGCTTATCACTTTTTAAATTAGGTGATGGGGCATTGGAGCATTTTTCCCAGACGTGAAGATCCATTAATACCCAAAAGAGCCAGAAACTGCCTAAATGTGTCAGCTGCTCGTTTCTAGGGACCCGACAAGTCTGAATCAGTGCAGTGGAAGAGGGTGAGATTGTCTGAGACAAACAGCTCTCTCGGAAACAGTGCGTCACTGAGCCCCTTCCCCAAGGACACCAAGTGCTGACAGCGAGAGTGGGAACCTCCCCTCGGGAATGGAACAGAATGGAACACAGTGAATGAGTGTTTGCCCTGGTGGGGACCCCTGGGAACAGTCTCTACTCCCCTCCTCTGCCACATGGGGATGCTGAGGCTTCAGAGAAGTAGGGCTTTTGAAGGTCATCGGAAACATTTCCACTGACGTGTATGGAGGATCCATTTAGTGTCCAGCGCTGTACTGGGTCCTGAGGACACAGACCTGTTTCAGATGTCTGTACAGAGTCCAAGGACAGCTATGCTAAGTGGCACCCAGATCCTCTGATTCAAAGATCAGTACATTTTTCAATGGAAGTATTATAATAGTTATTACTATTATTATTATAACTAAAATTTGAGTACTCATTAGTGCCAAGTTGGTGTTGCAATACTTTACATATATCATTTCATTTAACCCTTAGCTGCTGTAATTACTATGCCAGTTTTACCATTAATAACTTTGAAGCCCAGAGAGGTTAAGTAACTTGTTCAAGGTCACACAGTTAAAAAGTGGCAAACCCAAGCAGTGTGATGCTAGAGCCTGCTTCTTAGCTACCACCTGCCACTCTCCTGATGGCATTTCTACCTCCACTCCCTACACTTTACAACCAGAAGGAGCCTGGAGCCAAACAGGAGCTTTAAGGATTTTTAAAATAAGAAACACTGAAACAAGAACTGAACAGTAAAGGAACTGCAGGGATTTGGAGGGGAAGAGGATGCAAGCTGCAAAGGGAAGATTAAAGGTTCCTGGTGCTGCTAAATTGCGAGTCTGACCAGAGGGTGACATGCTGGGAATCGAACCCGATCATGAAAGGGGCAAAAAAATGTGGATTTTAAAGTCAAGCAGACCTTACTGTAGATTCACATGTATACATGTGGCCCGGGAGTCTCCTTTCCTCACCTGCAAAACAAATACAAGTTTTATCCTTAGGGTTGCTGCGATGTCAAATAGACAGTAGATACAAAGTGTCAGGCCTCCTGACGTGGGCATCTGTAATGGCATCTGTCAAGGTTACTATCCCTGCCACCTTGTGACCACCTCCACCACTTCCCAGATTGAGGAAGGGGCAAGGTAAAAAGCATTGAGCTGGGAACCTGGGATGAGGAGAGCCAAGCTCCAGCCCTGGGTTCTGCCTCTAAGCCACGTGTCCTGGGGTTAATCAGTGAGCCTGGCTAGATGTATCCCTCGTTTATAGAAAGCGATAGCACTCTATGTTCATCATACCTTCTTGGTAGGATTGGATCGAGTCCCAAATGAGGTAGTGTATATGAATATGATTTACAGTCTGTAGAATGAGTGTCGGGGGTCCCCAGGTCAACTCCTGGGGTTGATGATTCGCTGGGAGGGCTCATAGGCCTCAGCCTTGTCACAGTCATGACTGATTTATGACCAGGAAAGGATTCACAACAAAATTGGCACAGAAAAGGAGCGTGGGCCAGAAGGAACTGGGTGCAAGCTTCCAACAGTCCTCTCCCAGTGGAGTCACGCAGGACATGCCCAGTTCTTCCTGCAACAAATGGTGACAGCAGGTGTGAAATACTGTCTACCAGGGAGGCCCACAAGAGAATTCAGGGTCCAGGGTTTTTACTGGAGGCTGGTCATGTAGGCTCCTCTGCCCAGCATTTCTCCAGATTGCCAGAAAAAAAAACAGTGCTCAACATAATGTTATTGTTTATATAGTTCAGGCACAATGAGCTATTTTGACTAGAAAATGGTAAGAAACTTTCCAAAATCTAAGTTCCCAGATGTCAGCCAAGGGCCACCCTTGCAAATAGGCCTTTTCAAAGATAGCAACCCCAGGTTTGCTATGTTAGCTACGTTTTGCACAGAGTAGCATTTGTAGAAAGGATTTTTATGAATAAGCACTCAAAAGGCAAAGGGAAAATAGTAACAATAAGCACAGCAGTTCATAGGACTGATTGTCACTGTGTGCCTGTCACTCACTGTTGTGCACGCTTTCTCTGCGTTGGCTCATGTAACATTTCATCGACCCAACTCCTTGACGCAGGTACTGTCATCACCACTGTGGTTTATATATGAAGGAGCTGAGAAATAACGGGTTCAGTAGCTTGCCTGGATGTCCAGCTATATAGCTTGCAGGAAGTCATAGGACCAGAGGAGAGCCCTGGAGCCCTGTCAATGTGGCCCCTCAGTCTATATTCTTTTTTTCTTTTAATCCTCACCCGAGGATATGTTTTTATTGATTTTAGAGAGGGAAGAGGGGGCAGAGAGAGGAAAAAGACAGCAGACTGATAGAGAAACATCAGTCAGTTGCCTCCCATGTGCACCCCAACTTAGAATCAAACCTGCAACCTTTTAGTGTATGGGACAATGCTTCAATAAACTGAGCAACCCAGCCAGGGCCCTCAGTCTATATTCTTTACCCCTATGTTACACTCTGCTTGCTACACTGCACTTACCAGGGGCTGGGTGCTCTGTATGTGTTATTTTATTAATGTGAACAACAGTTCTTTGTGAATATAGTTATTGGACTAATTGTGCATTAAAAAAAGACCTGTGGCTCAGAAATGTTAATTTATGTCCCATCACCCCACCAGAGAAGTGACAGTGTCTGTAATATGTCTCTGCCCTCTCCCAGCCTGGTTTTCCGTGGTGGGGGTTTTGTTGAAGCTTTTGGTAGACACCAGGCAAATGGTCAAGGTGGAAATGAGTCATTCTGGGGTCTGGGCTAAGAAACTTCCCCCATAGTCCTCATGTGGAGACAGAGTTAATGGAAAAAGGGGTTGTGTTGGAGTAATTCAACTTTCCCTGCATTATTTCAGAGCTTTAGATGCTGTCTTTAGCTCTTTTTAGTTCCCATGACAGCAGATGTGATATTTCTTTCATGAAGAAAAAGAAAGAAAGAAAAAGAACCACACTCGCTCCTCAGTGATATTACAAAATCTGTTTCCCAGATCTAACTAATTTTTCTTGCACAGTGGTTACACTCTAGGGAAATTCTTAGAATGGAATGAAAAGGGAGCAAACAGGGCGATGGCGAAATCTGCTTCTCTAGAGGAGCTGTACACTGTGGGTGTGGAGGTGGTTTGTGAGAGGGGGCGATGCATGAGGAGGGGGCAACACAGGACCTGAGACCAATTGTCAGCATCTGAAGGCAACAGCTGCTTGGTTTTAAGGTCTCGGTCATCATTCATTGTTTTAATTTTGCTTCCAACTCCCTCACCCCACCAGTCATACATGTGCTGGGCTTTGCTAGGCTAAGCAAATGCTTTTTGGTGGGGAAAGCATGATGCATAAAAGCAATAATTTCCACTCAGAGTGACAACTGCAATGATGAGGTAGGCTCAGCATTCGATGGAAGCAAAAAGGTTTGTCTCGTTCATGTAATTTTGACCTATCTAGACACACACACATAAATATAGGTGTATGTGTTTGTATTATTGCTTTTTAAGTATTTATTCATGTCATTATATCATTAGCCTTTGCAACCATTCAATGTCAGTGATGGCCCAATATTCCAGTTGAGTGGAAGGATCACAGTCCTTTGTGCATGGACATTTAAGTTGTTACCATTCTTCCCTATTATAAAGGGAAGAGTTCTACAGACTGATACATCTGAGCAGATTTGTTCATAACACAACTGTTTTATTCAGAAAGATGCCCACATTTCTCTTCAATATTTCTTTCTTTTTAGCGATTATAAAAATTTGACTGTACTGGGAGGGGGAAAATATATTCATTAGATACAAACCTGTCTTTACCACCTCCTATCATCACCTTGTCACAAGTGATTGTCTCCAAGAACAATACCCCAGTTTCAGGGGTCTATAAAGCTCTGCCTGCAACCACCAAGGAGAAGTGAGAACTAACCTCAATCTGTGACCAAAGCAATAAGCAAGCGGACCATGATTTGGGCGTTATTCCTAGAAGATGGGTGATGGTTTTTCAGGGCCAGAGTGAATAATCCAAACGATGAATCCTAAATCTGTGCTCCAGAGAATCCTAACAATCTCTTCTCTTCTTATTCCCTTCAGAGCCATGTTCGACTATGACAAGAGCAAGGACAGTGGGCTGCCAAGTCAAGGACTTAGTTTTAAATACGGAGATATTCTCCATGTTATCAATGCCTCTGATGATGAGTGGTGGCAAGCCCGGAGAGTCACCCTGGAGGGGGACAGTGAGGAGATGGGGGTCATCCCCAGCAAACGGAGGTAAGAATGCCTTTTCCATTTCAGAGCTTTGCTTTTTGGCCACCCAGGGCGTGGAGATGAGGGAAGAGGAAGATGTGGCAAACTGTTCACAAAGTATCTATTAGAGCAGGATAGTCAGTCTGCAGAAAATTGCTAGTGGTGACAGGTGACGTGAATTAATACTCTCACTTTGTATTAGGGTTTTACTGAAACTGGTGATTGTGGTGAGGTTGTGATAAAGGAAGAAAGAGGATCTGCAGTTTGGGGTCTGCCTTCCAAAACCTTTTACCAGCACTCACCTTTTCAAGATTATGCTTACCAGCTTGAATGCTGACTTGCAAACTCTGAGGGCTTAGTCCAAATGTTCAAAACTTAACAAATAATTCCATAGAAAGGCCAGGTAAAAGTCAAATAAAGTAGATTATTACACTGAGGCCCTGGCTCTGTATTGAAGGAAATAAACTAGAAGCCCCCATTCCAAATCCAGATGCTTGGGATACGAGATGTCGAATATCTGGTGAGGTTGAAAGACCGGTTGTAAATGGTTTTTCACTCTTTTAGTTACTCCTCTCCCCCACCCTCCCCTCCAGCTTTCCACTTCCACTCAGATACATGATTCTATATGTTTCCTAAGTCAAGAGTGTTATGCTGTTTCTTTTCTAAGCATTTGTTCAAGTCTACTTTGGAAAGGCAGGAATGTACTTCAGAAAAACCAACTCCTTCATCTGTCCCAGCAGCTTCTACTCATCACCACCGGGAAGGAACTTTCCTTCCCCCAGATATTGTCTAAGAAGCAAATTATCTACACCCTAGAAAAGAGATACAATATGAAAGCAAAGTGAGAAGCAATGCTTATTCACAGCAACTTCTTCTTGAGTTGCAGGTTTCTCAAAGGCCTCTTTTCACATCCAGACACCCCAAATACTTTTGTAAAAAATCCTCAGTGAAGCTGAGTATGTAAGTGTGGCCACATACTTACAAAGAGACCCAGTGACTGAACTAGCACAACCCACTGTGAGAAGATGTAAATCCCATGGAAGAATAACTGCAGGGCATTTGCACCCCAAGGAAGACTTGTTTCCCATCTTCTCTGCCTGTGGCCACACGGCCCAGGGAGAAATGTGGGGCAGGGCACAGCTGCTCCCTCACTTTTAGTGGGGGACCAAGTGGCAGAGAAGGAGCTGAAACCACAGGGAATCTCCCCACCCCACGCCCATGCCTACAAATCTCCCACCAGCAGACAGTTCCCTGGGTCTCTCTGCACCTCTGGGCTCCTGGACAATTGCCTCACATTGCCCTAAGAGAACATTCTGAGTTTCTACTGTGGCTTCTCATGTTTTTCTGAAAGATTTTGTATTCAGAGCCTTTTCTCTCAGCCTGAGTTTATACTCTGTGTTTCTCCATTTCTATGTACTTCAGAAAAAATGCCAAGGCAACATACATTTTTATATGTTTGATTTAATTAATTGAAGCTGTCTGAGGGGCTGCTCTATAGAAAAATGCCCCGAGGATGAAATGGGTAGAGAAGAAAAACTATGTGGGAATAGATTTCACCTCATTTTTTAAATTATATTTTATAGATTATGCTATTACAGTTGCCCCAATATTTCTCCTTTTGCCCCCTCCATCCAGCATTCCCCACTCCCTCAGGCAATCCCCACACCATTGTTCATGTCCATGGATCATGCGTAGGTTCTCTGGCTACTCCATTCCTATACTGTACTTTACCTCCTCATGGTTATTCTATAACTACCAATTTGCACTTTTTAATCCCCTCACCTCTTTGCCCATTTCCCACACCCTGCTCCCATCTGGCAACCATTGAAATGCTCTCCATATCCATGATTATGTCTCTGTTCTTATTGGCTTAGTTTGTTTTTGAGGTCCAATTATGGATAGATATGCATTTATTGCCATTTTGATCTTCATAATTTTGATCTTCTTTTACTTAAATAAGTCCCTTTAAAATTTCATATAATAATGGTTCAGCAAGGATAAACCCCTTTAGATTTTTCTTCTCTGGGAAGCTCTTTATCTGCCCTTCAGTTGTAAATGATGTCTTTGCTGGGTAGAGCAGTCTTGGCTGTAGGTCCCTGCTTTTCATGACTTTGAATGTTTCTTGCCAATCCCTTCTAGCCTCCAAAGTTTCTTTTGAGAAATCAACTGACAGTCTTATGGAACTTTTTTGTAGGTAATTATCTCCTTTTCTCTTGTTGCTTTAAAGATTCTCTTTTTGTCTTTAACCTTGCCATTTTAATTGTGATGTGTCTAGGAGTGGGCCTCTAAGATCCACCTTGTTTGGGACTCTCTGTGCTTCCTGGACTTGCATGTCTATTTTCCTTCACCAAATTAGGAAAGCTTTCTTTCATTATTCTTTTCAAATAGATTTTCAATTTCTTGCTCTTTCTCTTCTCCTTCTAACGCCCCTATGATGTGAATGTTGGAATGCTTGAGGTTGTCCCATAGGCTGCTTACACTATGCTTTTTTGGATTCTTTTTTCTTTGTGTTCTGATTGATTTTTGTTTCCTTATGTTCCAAATCATTGATCTGATTCTCAGCTTCATCCACTTTACTGTTGTTTTCCAGTATATTGTTCTTTATTTCCATTGGTGTATCCTTCATTTCCGACTGGATCTTTTTATGCTTCTAAGGTCCTCACTAAGTTCCTTGAGCATCATTCTAACCAATGTTTGGAACTCTGCATCTAACAGATTACTTATCTCCACTTTGTTTACCTCTTCTTCTGGAGTTTTGTTCTGTTTTTTCATTTGAGCCATGTTTGTTTGTCTCCTCATTTTGGCAGCCTTCCTGTGTCTGTTTCTATGTATTAGGTAGAGTTGCCATGATTCTGTAGGGTCCAGTGGCACAGCCTACATTATCGAAGCTGGGTCTCCAGGTGCACCCTTCATGTGAGCTTGAGTATACCCTCCTCTTATGCCAAACATGTCAGTTCTGTATGCCACTAGCGCCTTTCAAGCTACTACCCCAGGGCTGGAGCTGAGAAGGAGTGAGTCTGAGTATGTCCATGTTCTTTAAGGAGAACTGCTTGGTACTCTAGAAACTTTTTCCACTGACTGAGTTTCTGCATCCAGAGGTTTTGGGAACTTATCTTTTTTGGCACTGGGCTGGGGGGGCCTCATGTGGGTCTGACTCTCCTCACTCCTGAAATATCCCTCTCAAATTTTATCTACTTCACATGGATGTGGGAACAGGGGCCACATTTCCACCCCTCCTGCCAGTCTGGATGGATGTGGTTTCCTTAATTTTGTAGTTGTCAGATTCTACTAAACTCAATTTCAACAGTTCTGAGTGATGGTTGTTCAATAGTTATCATTCTCATGTTGTTATGCTAGGAGTGAGCCATATTTACCTATGCTGCCATCTTGATCTGAAGTCCCTCAGCTCATTCTAAAGAAGTTCTTTTACTAGTAGGAGCTGCCTAGAGAAGGTCTGAATTACCTGGGAAGATAGTAAACTAGAATAATGGTTTTCACACCAGGGAAACATTATAAAAGTTTAGATATGCCCACCCCCTGCTTCCCTGATCCTCTTCCACACCTCCCCCCTGTACACACACACACACACACACACACTCTCTCTCTCTCTCTCTCTCTCTCTCTCAGATTCTAATTTAGTCCATCTGGAGTGGGTCCAGAAATCTGCAGTTTTTGTAAGTTCCTGCAGGTGATTCTGATAATAGAAGATCCAATGTTGTGAGAATTTGTAAAAGGGATTCACACTTCAGATGGAAGAGTTGACCTGTATGATTTTCAGCCTCTTTCCCACCCTGCGGTTCTGTGATTCTAACCAGCCTTGTCAATAGTCCCTCATGTGTTGGATTACACGTCCTATTTTCTCCAGGAAGCATTCTTGGTGCTATTCCTCTTCAGGTGATTTTCCACCTGGCTGTCTTTTTTTTTTTTGGATGAAAACCATTTTGACAACCATACTACAGCTGGCCTGAGAAAGATGTTTGTCAGGTGAATATACTATTGACATTTATTTGTGCTGTATCTCATGAGGGTCCAGTAGTTTCCCCCTTTGTATGTGAACACATGTATGAACATGTGTGACTGTAATTTCTCTAAAATTTTCTCCTTAGGGTTTTAATTCTTTCCAAATATATCCCTATTGTTGTTTTATATGTTTATAAAAGTAACACATTCTTGCTGAAAATTGGGGAAATTTTTTTCCAAAAGAAAAATGAAGAGTATAACAAAGAAGTAAAAAATCACTTAAAATCATATCCCACAAAGAGTTCTCATGCACTTATTTTAACGCAATTTAAGATCTGTCATGAGCCTGTTCTGAGCCTGCTCTTTAATACTTTACTTGTACGAGGCACCCTCACTTCATACTATAGCCAGCATCTTAAAACTGTAGCTCAAAATAAATAGCAGCTAGTGGAAATACGACTTACTGTTAGATTGGGGTTATTTTTTTCAATCCTAGCCCATTTTATGAGTATAGTTCAGATAGTAGAGTTGATCTGGAAAACTCTCATAATGGATGATGTCAGTGTGGGATATTTCCCTTTACAAAAATGTTTCCTTATTATGATTCCACTTAATCATCCTAGTAAAACCAAGATGAAAATTACTGCCTTCCCTCTATATTTTTTTGAAGGTGGCAAATAAATTTTATTTACCAAAACACTCTGAGAAATGCTCGATGCTATTCTAAGCCCTTTATAATTAACTCATTTAAACTTCATTACAACCCTATAAAGGAAGTGATATTATTTCCATTTTATAAATCAGGAGATTGGTTAACTTGCCTGAAATTGCCCCACTAGTAAGTGACAGAACTGGCATTTGAATCCAGGCTGCAGAATTGATGCTCTTGATTCACATGCAATCCTACCTCCCAAGGTTCCAAAAGTAAAACTGCAAAGTGTTAATTCAGCAATCATTGCTTAAGTAGCATCTGTACACCAAAGACTCTCATTGGGTCAATGTCTGGAGCAACATTTTTGGGACCATCAGGTAACTATGGCACACCTTCACTGTGATTAGAGCAA